CTTGGCTGCCGCTGCCGCCTTGTCTCCCAAGCTTGTCTCCCTTCATGGTTTCGTTTTTTTCATGCTTGTACACTTTTTAGTTTAGACTAGGTATTCTGGAGCACTTTTTGTATTGCTTACCAGATAGCGTGAGCTATGGGAAGAGCTGCGTGTGTGCGTTTGCGAGCTTGGGTGCTATTGCGGCTGCAGGGTCCCGCTGCTGTGTGCGCTTGGGAGCTTTTGTGCAGGGTGCTGCTGCTGTGTGCGCTTGGGAGTGCTGGCGCCGTTGCTGCTGGTGCTGCCGGAAAGGTCGTTTTCCTATCTGGAGTCTATGCTGGCGCAATTCCCTAGATAGCGTGAGCTATTGGGTTTCCTATTCCAAGTATAGGAAAAGCTGCGTGAGCTTGGGTGCTGGTGCCGCTGCAGGGCGCCGCTCTTGTGTGCGCTTGGGGCCGCTGCTGTGCGCTGGCGCCGTTGCTGCTGCGGCCGGAAAAGTCTTTTTGCTATCTGGGGTCTATGCTGGCGTAATTCAAGAGAGCTGCCAAAGCTCTATAGTGCTAGAGATGCATATCTCCAGACAAGGCATGCTAGCATTTTGTATTTTGGAGTTGCGCACACGCACTTACACTCTAAACTGGGCTTCTTTCGTGGACTTGATTGGTCGGGAGCAGAACTTGGCTGGGATTGTGTGATGCTTCTTGTTTCTTCACACACGGCTCTTCGCAACTTAAAGCCTTTTTTTGACTGCCTGCGGGTTCTTGGAATCACACCTTATCCCTCGCACCATGCTGCCCTCTTGTGCAACCATTCATTATTGGCAAAATTCCGAAGCGCTATGATAAACAAAATGTGCGCAGCCTCCAAAAACTTCATGCTCTTATTTGGGAATCAAGACCGACTGAAGCATGTTCGATTCTGTCATGAGAGCCAACTGGCAGCCTCTGCAAACGAAGTGAGTTATGGGGGCTGGGGGAGATGAGCCCAAATCATCGAAATTTGTGGACCTGCATGGGTCATGGGTTTGTTTGTTTTTGGGCTGTCTTGTGGAGAGTCTATGATGCTGGTGATGCACGTCATTGTTAGTGGAGTTAGGGAGGATTGGGATAGAGGTGGCGTCAGGTGGGATGGATGCCCGAGAATGAGATGGACGGATGGTGGATGGATGGAGGGACGAATGGCTTGATTCCGGATGTTGTTCGTGAAGAGTACCTTCTACAACAAGCTACTGAGCTACGGTTGATCTTGACAGGGGGACTTTTCACACAGGACATCATCTCTCGCCACCACAAAGCTGGGCCCACCAATTGTTCGTGTTCCATAGGAGGTAAGCAAACTCTCTTGGAAATCTCCTAGACATTTCCAATCATTTCAATAATCATCTTCGAGCGCTCTTTGCCAACAACTTTGATTGTCTCACTGTATCCGCCGACATGCAGTATTGTTTCCACCATTTACCCTGTGAGTCTGCTCCTGGCATCTGGAGGAACTTCACTGCCCACTGGAATTCCTATGGGATTTCGCATGTGAGCGTTTCGTTTCGGACTGCATCTGGCCCGGCTCGTCTTGGCAAATATGACTAGCTGGATATTGCACAGTATCTTTCGACCCAGAAAATTTCCGTACCACCAACTATGTCCTTGCCTTTATATGCCTGGATCCATCGGTCGTGAGGAACAAGGAGCACCCATGGGTGATGCCATGTCTTCTGCCATCTTGCGGCTGTTCAAACACTCCCGTGAAGTGTTGACCCCCAGCCCCACACTTGTAACCCCGCTGGATGGAGGAACCTCTAGGCGTGCTTCACTTCAAGGTGAGGAGTTGCTCGTCTTCGATGCGTCTTTCCGCGACGACATTCGACTTTTTTGCACTCGACCTCCAGTCTCACCAGGGACGACGTACAACAATGGGCATGGAACCTCCTTGAAGTCGGTTATTGTACGAAGACCATGAATATTGAAGATTCCAACGTTGACAGCTTTTTGGGACTCAAGTCGACTTGGGAACCACTCGGTCTGTATGCCCCGGTCATAAAACCCTGGCTCCAAGCGATCAGAAGGCTGTCATTTTTGATCTTTGGTGCCGCTGCTGGTACCAGTCGAACAACTCCGCTGCCTGTGGCACCGCGATATTCTTGAAACCATTTCTAATTCACCGGGCAAATTTTCTTTCCGGAGTAGTTTACTCCTGCGCCCACAAGTGGGCCAAAAAATGGATCCTTGGAACATGGAGGGCCCCTAGTTGAATCTCCACTCAAACAGGCGCATCAGTTTGGAAAACGTGTATTCGCCACCGCCACCAATGTCTCACTACCACGCTGCCTGTTAGCTTGCAGTCACACAGAGGCTCTGTGTGGAGTGCTGTTTCGTTGCCTTGAGGCAATTCCTAACCACATCTGAACATTTACTTTTTTTCCCATACTGCCAGGATATTCGCCAACCAATTTTGTACCTTTTTTGACTTGATCAGGCAGGCCTTTCGCTACAGGACGATTTTGACTCAACGAAGAGTCTTTGATTAAGATTTGCACACTAGAAACTGTCTGAATTATGATTTTTCCCTTTCTAAACCGAAGCCTAGTCCCTCTGAGTGAATCAGAGTGATTCTGTTTCCCACAACCCTTCCTCACCAGGCTCGCAAGAAAATGGACACCACATCATTTCTCTTCCAACTGGAGGTGTAATGTGTCAAAAGTGTGCTAAATTTACTTCCGAACCCAAACATCGCAGATTGAACATCAGCAAGCAGCCTTGCCGTCGTTCCCAGCTGTCAGAGGAGTTTTGGACCGTTGTGCCATCGCAAAAGAAGCATTGTCCATATTTGATTGACCTTTTCGTCAATGTTTCCAGTTTGGGTTCAGCACATAACCTTGCTTGGAGTTTCTCCAGATGCAGGTGACTCTGGTGTTATCAAATGTTTGTGCTGTTCCGTCACCTTCCCATGAAATAACCGGTACAATATTGAACACCAGATGAAATGTTCTAGGTGACATGCACGGAGGCATACGCCTCCCCGCTGGATTAGCCAACATATGATCAAATATGAATGCTCTACGCAGAGTTTGCTTGGGCTGTTGGCATTGAAGTTTCCCTATCCCCGCTGGTGAAAGACACATCTGCGTCTTCGTGTTTAGCTCCGCGCCATCCTTGCATGAGATTTCCAATGTTTCCAAATGGAATGCACTTGGTTCGCTCCCGATATTTTATCCAAAGGATTGCAGGTGGAACACCTTTACTTTTTGACGACATGGGCTGAAATGACCTTGGCCGGCTGGCTTTTGTAGAAGCCTTCTCAGGTTGACCGTCAAAAGATGCCTTGCCTCATTTCAACACAAACCCTGCGTTGTCATGTGACACCACTTCTGACAGTAGGCTTTTTGGGGCTCCTACCACAAGGTGGTAGAGATTTTGTGTGGTCAGCATTGCCAATTCGTTCGGCCAGGGTTTGGCACTGACAGCCGTGGCTGCATGTGCCAGGAGCAGAACTCGGCAGGCCCGCATTCTGTATGTGATTAGCTTGTAGAAAGTCAAAAAAAACACATCCTGAATCCATTTAGTGCTTCATTCAAGCCAATACGCAGGTAGCATGATTCGGCGTGTGGATGCTGTGCGGTTGTGCAGAGTTCTCGTTCCATGAAGGCGATTGCTGCACATCAAAAAAGACCATCCATGTCTGCCTCCGAGGACTGCGCTTCAACTTGACTTTTGGGGACTTACACTTTGCATCTTGTTGCCTGATATTTTTTGCTGAGACCAAAACATGGGCGAAAGTACACATTGGGTAGCAGTTCGGAAAGGACGTGGCTGGATCAAGACCCTTAAATGCAGGCACCTGGAGAATTTGTGTGCCAAAGCATGCCAAGCTGTTCAGACAAGACCAATAAAGGATGCAACAAGTGTTTGAAACTCCCAGCGGTATCAGCTACCTCGCCAGTGTCAGGAATCTCCTTGTCTTTTTCAAACTCCGGCTAGCAATAGAAGGGCCGGCGTCATCATTTGGCTTGCCCCCTTTTTCATACCTCCTGTAGTTTTTTTGTACTTCCCTACGCTCAAACAAGGGCCTACTACCAATGTGAAGCTCCAAACTGCCTACCACAGGATCTGAACTCAAACACTCAAAGTGCTGTTTTATAACTCCTATCCTATCTATACTTATTTCAACTGACCCTTTTCTTATTTGCTAGAAGCTGCAGACAAAGTATATAGTGGGAAATCGATTTGAGTACGACGAAGCCTGAGCGTCTGAGGGAGTTGTGCTGCATCAACATTCGTGCGCAAGGCGTAGCAGGGGCAAGAGCTTGTGAATAGTTGCATTCTTGATTTACGGACTGTTGCTCAGGCTTAGATTCAAGTTTTCAGCATTGAATTCTGACTGTCCGGCCGAAATCACTCTGACTCATCAGGTGGTAGCATTTTCGAGGCCGTTCACAGTGACACTCGTGATCTTAGCTGGCACCTCAGTTGTTTGCCAGGGGTGTAAGCAAATGTAAGCAATGCTACTTGTTCGGCTGTCAGGTGAGCCTTGGACAAAGTCCTCCCAACTTATTTGGCCTTTCGTACATGTCACTTTGCTGCAACAAGCTGTTCCAAAAAGTCCTCTGCAGTCTGACCTCTTCAGGATTTGGTTGGTGGGCCTTGCTTTAGCTGGGGCTTGGGCGTCCTATGTAGGCTCTGGCCCAGTCCTCACTCTGAGCAGAGGTTGTTCTTCATTGCATTGAAGACGAACTGTTGAGGATGGGACCTCCTCCGTGCCAATGCATTCATTTGGCGAAGTGGGAACCTCAATGTCAGAATCCAGAGGATATGTTGATTGAGCTCATCACGAGGCCTACTCTTGCTGAGCAACTGCATAATTTTAGCGCTGTCCTATTGCCAGGCTCTGGAACTCGTGGTGATGTTTGAATGACCTCCTGAAAGCGTGAAAGCAACGTGGAAGCTTCTCTGCAGGTTATGCAATCCCAAAGTTTTGATTTGATCGGATTGCAGAGATCTTCACAGTCTGTCCTTGAGGCTGAGAATTTTTGCTTCTGCAGAGATTGGGTTTTGCAGATGTTTTTTTGGTGAAATACGCATGCTTTGTACTTAGCTTGACTTTGGCAGGTGATTTGGCCGCATTTGGCCATCGGAGTGCTGGCTGCCATGCAGACATTGGCGTTTTCACAGAAAGTGCAGATTCCAGCGATGTTTGTGAACAGCAATTCCGCCTTTGCAGCTTGGCATAGAGTTAGTGCAAACAAGATCTCGCAACCTGCAGGATTTCTGGTCTGAGCTGAGGCATGGTTCCTTTGGATTGCGGGGATTTTCATTGCCCATTTCCCAGAGGAATTTCTGCAGCAAAACCAGCTCAGTTCTTCAACTTCCAAGGAGATGGGGCTAATGCTCAATTTCGTAATGATCAAGCCCTTCACGGCCGACTCCTTCTTCATTCTAATTCTCTTCCTAGGCCAGGCGGCCAGGCCTCAACAACTCCTCTTCTTCCTAGGCAGCCTAGGCATGTTTGCAGTGAGGCATTGTCGCTGTAGAGCAGTTTGATGCGCCGAGTCGATGGTGCAGACCCAAGAAAGGACGTTCGATGTGCATCCTCAATCATGTCGATTTCTTTCTTTTGTTTTAAAAGGGGGGTAGGCCATAGAGGTGAGGTAGGTTAGCTAGAGGTAGCTAGTAGAAACTAGGTAGCTAGTAGTATGGACGTAGGGCTGGGGGAGCTTCCCTTTTTTTGCTCTCATGCCGTGCGACGGGGTCATCGGCGACCCTAGAGCATGCTGCGTCTAGGATCAAGGAACCACCTAAACATCTACGATTCACAAAAGCGAATCAAAGGGAATAGACAAAGGTTTGGCTTTGGCGGGGCCACAATGATCTTCTTGGGTTTGCAATAAGAAATTGCCGCTCGAATGATTGCAGCATAGGCTTATACTGTGCAGATCGTCCCAGCAGGCAAGATGAATCTCCACCCTTGAGTGAAAGCAAAAGCCGCCAGTTCAAAAACAGAACACGCAAGGCCTTCACCAAGCCTCCAACGGAGGAAGTTGGTAAACTCCAAAAAGATCTTGAAATTTGCATGCGAAAGCTGCGGCTTATCTCTAAAAGGCAAATCAATATCATTGCATACCTGCCACGTGTACATGTCGGGCTGAGCATCCCAGGGCCACCGAGGACATTGTTGTCGCGCTGAAACATGGGGCATTGGCTCGGGCACAGTTGGCAGGGCAACGACATGTCCTGATTCCGGCTTTTTGCAGAGTTTATTGAGCTTTGTGAGCCACAGTTGTCTAGCAAACACGTCCGTCTCTTTCATGGCAAGATCAGCCCTGTACGAAACGGCCGTTTTCCAAATCTGTTGCTTGGCAAAATAATCGGCGCATCTGTTGAGGATTATGTCCCTTCTGGTGGAACCAGCCGCCCTAGCCTCTGCTTCTGTCAAGAGCGTGGCAGGAATATGCTCAAGCAAATGGGCCGGACACCACATAACTTGAAGTGGGTGTTCGCAGTGACCACGCCGTTGATGCAAAAGCGTGAGCAAAAAACCCACCAGTTGGTATGGGTCCAGTCGACTTGAACATGGCCAAGACGCTGCAAATCATGGAACTGATTGACAATGACAATGGTAAGAGAGTCTGAATGAACGACCAATGGCTGCTCCGCAATGGCAAATGCAACTAGTAGAGCCCATAATTCCGCACTGCAGCTGGAGAGGCGCCAATGGTAGACCTGACCAGCTGCCAAAAGCTCTTCATTTTCAGCAACAACCGCGAAGGAGGCAATGGTGTGCCATGGATGGTGGGAGAGCTGCACTGATCCGTCAGTCCACACATGCCGTGTAGCAGGAAGCGGAGAAGTCGAGTCCACAACACTCAGGTCAGAAGTATTGGATGCCCGCAGTTTAGCGCGAACTACATCAAAGGGAATCTCCGCAACGCCCAACATATTGAAGTTCGGCCCAAAGAAGTACATCGATGAGGGCTGAAGCAAATATGCGGGCAGTGGGGAGCAGTCATCAAAAAAAATGCAAAGATTCCTGTGCAAGCCCACAAAAGCGACACTTTGAGTCATCTGATAGGCCAGAGGCGCAGTCGATCTGCGGTGACCGTGCACCCTGTGACGGCGCTCTCCCAATGAAATAAGATGGAAAAACGAGGATTTGAAATCTTGGCAATCTTCTTCTTAGCTGAAAGAGTAAGCGAAATATCAAGGAACCCCGCAGCTTTGCGAATGTCCTTCCGTGGCATCAGACATGCAGTTTGATAGCATTTGTTGGCCGCAAGGCTTTTGAGGATACATTTGAGGTCAGCCAAGGAGAATCCCAGAAAGTCGACTGCTGGTGCGTCGAGAAGAGAGAACCCAAAGGGAGTGCGCCATGCAATATCCAGAATATGGCATGCCTGCGCAAATTGAGTCATCCATGATTGTGCTGTCATCTGATCTTGCTCATAGATTGCTTGCCAACATCGCCGTGCATATGCAGATGCGCGTAGGTATCTTGCTGACTCGATGATGGCAGTCACAGCACGGTACAGGAAGGGATCAAGCTTATGCGCCTTGTGTACAATGCAAAGCAGCAAATGTTTGGATCTCCACATTGGCCGATCCTGCCAGATAGAGTCCGCAATAGCACTCTGTAGCCTGGCCAACAACCTCTTTGGTAAGAAGTTCAACTGCGGCGCGAAAGCAATCTGAGGAAGCGCGGTTTACGCAAACTGACATGTTTTTACAGCGAATGGCTTTGACGGTTTTGCGGTGTTCTTTGTCTGTTTAAATTGCGTGACACGAGCACGTGCTTTCAAATCCAGCGGTGGGCAATGGTAGCCAGAAATTCAAACGAAAGCTGACAAACAAACACGTGAAAGGGCACACCAACACAGGAGCCGGGCAGGGAACACATTGTCCAGGACTGAAAACACCCAAACCTGGGAACCAAAAACACCAACACAGGAGCTGGGCAAGGAAAACACCAATCCAGGAACTGAAAACACCAAGACCTGGGAACCAGAAACACCACGGGAACCGAAAAAACCAATCTGGGAAAAGGAAACACCACGGGAAGGGAAAGCACCAATCTGGGAACTGAAAACACCCAACCCGTTGTGTCTCTGTGTGTTGTCTCGGTGTGTGGTCTCTGTACGTGTTGTCTCGGTGTGGAGGGAGGATGATCTCTGTGTGTGTGATGTGTGTTGTCTCTGATGGATTCACAGTCTCGTAGTGCCGCCTGCAATTTGGAGACAGGAAAATTCCCAACATTCTTCTTTGTCGTTTGTACATATGCTCCACGTATGTTAACGACCTCAACCACCTTCATTTGTGGAAATGCCAGCTTCAATTCCTTCCGAAGGTCACCAGTAGTTGCAAAGGCTTCACATTTGCTGGCGTTGAGAAATTGGCCACATAGCGAATCCCATAACTCCGTGGCCCGGACTGCAGCAACCAAATTGGTGATGGAGGGCAGCCGGGACCAGATATATGTGTCATCAATGATTGCTCGGAAATCGATGCCGTCAATGTTGGAGATTATCCAAACCCATATGGCCATATGAACGTTGATACATAGAAGACTCAACGAACAGCCTTGCGCAACACCATTTGGCGTAGATATGGCCTGCGCCCTGGTCCATTGCTTGAATGAGAGAAATCTCGTCATGCGGGCGCAGAGAGCGAGGAAGCCACATACAAAGCCTTGGGGCAACCCCAGGGCCAACATGATGGCAGCGCAGAGCTTGGGCATAAGGCGGTCAAAACACTGCGCTTTGTCCAACTTCAGGGCAGCAAAGTTCCCGTGTGCTCGGTCGATTTCCAGCTGCATGGTCATGTGAACCTCCGCCATTTGCCGACCTTTGACACCCCCTTTCAACTGGGGTGGCATAACTTCTTGCTGCCATTGCTGAAGTTGCAGAAACCTGAGGCCTGTATACAACAATGTAAACACTGACTGCAGGGAGATAAGCCTCTTCGAGAGTGGGGCATCACTACCATCCTTGTTGTGAATAACCATGCGAACCTGTGTCAGGATGGTTGGTATCATTGAAGAGTTGCGCGACGGGCCGGAATGCAGCCGGAGGTAGGGCTTGGACTTCTCTTGTCTGCCAACCATCAAGTCCGGCTGCTGCATCAGGCCGGCGCCGGGCCGCCTGTTGCCAGAGCTGCTCCTCAGTTATTGGTGGGAGGGCAATGGGCTTCCCTTTGTCATGTAGATATGGCCAGACCTGCTTGAGAATATGGAGCTCGTGATCATGATTGGCATTGACTGAAAAGACAGAATCCCACTTATCAGCAATGACACCCATGGCTGTCTGCGGGTCATAAATGATGTTGCCCATTTCGTCCTCAACCAAGTTTGGCGGAACAACACGGCCTTTTCGTTTAAGGTATTGATATACAATCTTCCCAATAGCCAGCGAAGTTGTCACATTTTTCATGGCCGCTTTCCACGTTGCGATGGCAGAATACTTCAACTGTTTTGTCTCATCACGAATGGCCTGAAGGGTAAGTTCGACCAGATGCGAAATGTCATGGACCAAAATGGTACGAACTGTGAAAGGAACCAGCTTTGCAACCTTGAGTCTCCGAAAAAGACGATGTTGCGTGTTTCGGAAAGTCCGGGCATCACCAGTCACCAGGGCCAGTAGCATCTCGCTGGAATCGAAACTCCAATTCGCGAAGTGAGCGGAGTACTGCTTGTAAGAGAATCAGTCTTGGTGAGGCAAGGCATCCTGACGCTTCTTGGGGAGCACAGGCATGCACCTTGTGAAAATTTGGCAACTTTCCACGAACATGCGGACCTTTCTCCCACGTTGCACCATTGAGCAATAACAGTTGAATGGCATATTGGTTGAAGGTATCCCACTTGTTGTCAGCATCCATGGCACTGGAGAAATCAGTGGCGTAACCCTGCCAGAGCCGATCACCAAGTTGATTGACGGGACATCCTGGGTCTGCCGGATCATGGCATTGAACATTATCCAGATTGAGCTTTGCTGCACGTTGCATCATAGTGCCAGCTTGCACAATGCGATCCATGCAAAAGTAGCTTGCGCAGGCCGGTGTTGGCGGTCTTGATGTTCAAGCGCACGAATATCAAGCAAAGCTGTAAGCGCAGTTCTGTTCATGAGGATCCCATCAATGGATGACTGACCGTCCCCTTCGAGGTTGGCAGCGTGTTGGAAAAACGTGCAGGGTCTGATAACTTCACCTTGGCCATCAGTGCGTAGAAGGGGGTCTGCCCAGCCCCAGTGGTCCAACGCAAGCTGGACGGAAGGGTACATCCCTGGTTCCATCTGAAAGTCTCCAGCGATAATGATGGGGATGTCTCCAAACTGTGCAGCGACTGTGAACAACTGGTCGATGAGCTCGTTGTTTCGATTGAACTTTGCTCTCTCCGATGCAGCATTGGCAATCCCATAAAAGTTGAAGGCAAGGAGTTTAACCCCAGGCGAAACTTGGTGCCACGTAGCAGTGACTCGCGCAGAGGCTCGGAGCAGAGGCCACGTGCCTGATACATCTGCCTTCTCATCAAACAGCTGAGTAAGTTCCTTGTGCGCGCAAGTGGCTGTACCACCAGTTGCTGGCCCGCTGCTTAATGAGAGGTTGTGAGCAAAACAGGCACCTTTCCGCTGTGACTCA